TATTTTCAGCACAAAGATCGATAAAAGAAGCTTTTTCCTAGCATCTAATACGACAAACACAACAAGGAACGGTTATGTGCTCAAGTTATAAACGAAAGAGAAAGTCGACCAAGAGAATCGATCAATGTTACTTAGGACCTAATGCAATGTTCAGATTGAAATAAGCTCTGCAAACAACGCTCTTTGAAATCAATTTTATGAATATGTTACTGGAAATAATGCAAGGATTAAAAAGGAGGACATTTTCAGGCAAAAGGAGGATGTAGAAAAAATATTCGAAAAGGAGAACATGTCCTTCTTTAGGATACCATATGGTAACCCTATGCCTAGCACATCATTTTGAACGCCATTGTGTTCCTAATGCTGGTTTTAGACTAGGCAAGTAAAATGATCAACTCAGTTGAATTCAATTGGCTTGAAAAGTTGAGCCTGGTTCAACTTTTTTCAATTCAAGTGAGTTGATCAAGTCAGTTGAATGGCATGGTTTACACGTTCAATTCGCGTTCAAGTCAGTTGAATTCAACTGACTTGATCAATTGACTTGCCCTGTCTAAACTCAGCTTAACTCTCCAGTGCACTATATGGCAGCCATTTTATGTTCCTTTGATTTGTTTTCATCCCGTTGCTGGCTGTCAAAGTTCTGCTGTTAGTTGCATGTCAAAATTTCGTTTGAAAATAAGGAAAGGGCTCTCAAAAGTTTTCGAATTTTAAGCTAAGCATCAACCTGAATTGAAATGGATTTTCAAGATAAAGGTATGTAAAGGTTATGTTTGAAAGGTATTTTTGTTAATATTCCGGGGATTTCCAGGCCGAATGTTTGAAACTGTAGGATAGATTAGGGTTGTAACAAATGATATACGGCAGAACATTTTGCGAATTTTTGCGAATTTACGATATATTGTTACTTTTTGCCAAGGTAAACATTTCATTTTGCATATGCTAGTATGCAATTTATGAAAGTTCTGTTCATTACATTAGTTGTTTTAGAGTCTAGAACGTCGTATTTGAGAATATTAAGAGTATTTTTATAATTGATGATGAAATAATGTTGCAACATATTATGTAACTTTAATTTGATAAATTATAACCAATAGAGAAAAATTCTAATTGCACTTTTAGGGGATTATTTGTTTACTCTCTTCATACAATTTTATATGAGAACACATAACAATCAAATTTTAACAAAAAATAATCGATTTGTAGTTTTGGCCAACTTTTTGGGTCAAATACTCCTATGTGCATTGGTCCAATTACATAATTTTAGTGATATTATGTTCACCGTGTGTATAATTATTACAGCATAATGCAGTCCCAAAGTGACCCCAACGGAAATCTAAATAACTCCGGAACCATGAGTTGATCTATTTTTTTTTCTAAAGGAATAAAAAATACTTGAAAAGATTATCGACTAAATGAAACTTGTTGTGCAGAAAAATATTGAGTAATGATGTTTTTAGAGCTAATTGAATTTTGAAATCTATGCAAATTTAGACGTTAGGCATGGCAAGGTCAATCTTGAAGAGACTCAGTATGAAAGTGCAGTCTCTTTTGAACGCTATCAACAGATGCTTGGAGCTGCATTACTTTCCAAGCATCTGGAAGGTAGCAAAAATCATACCAATCCGCAAACCCGGAAAGGATCCAACATTTCCTGCAAGCTACAGACCAATCAGCCTCCTTTCAGCGCTGAGTAAAATTGATTGTTGTGCAAATTTGATCAATACAGATCTTTGGGGCCATTCCAAAGACTTCAGGAAAGTTTCGAGAACTTAAGGAAAGTCCAGAATTTCAGGGTGGTTTCAAAGTTTGTTCAGGTAGTAAGACTGAATTCTTTTGAGAAGACCAGAAAACTAAAGGTAAGAAACCTTGACAAATTTCCGAAAACTTTAGCAAAGGATCAGCATCAGGAAATTAGCGAAAAATCAAAAGAATGCCGGAGCAGTTTAAGGAAAGTTCTGTAAACTTCAGAGCGGTTTCAAAATTTTAAGAAAAACATGCCAGACTTCAGCAAAGATCAGAGAATTTCATGGTAGGTACATTCGTTTCAGACCAGTTCAAACACTTTTAAGAAGTTCCGAGACTTTCAGGATAGTTCAGACAACTCCTGAGAAGTTAAGAGGATTTAAAGACAATTTTTTTTTAACTTTAGATATGTTTACTTTGGGGAAGTTCAGATAGATTTAAAGCAGCTAAATTAATTTCAAATAGATCCAGAAGCATGCAGAAAGTTTCAGGAAACTATGGAAAATCCCGATTCCATCAGTTATGTTCCGAAAATTGACAATTGATCTTCAAGCAAGTTCTATAAATCCCAGGATGATTTCCGCAATAGAAAAGTGCAGATATGTTTGAGGCAAATTTAGGGATTTTTAAGAATAAAGAAAGGAAAGTTAAGATCTTTAGTGTAGTAACAATAACTTCAGGGAAGCTCCAATATGTTCTTTAGAAACAATATTCTTTCAGAGTAGTTTAAAGATCGTGAAGAATTATTTCTAAAACTTCAGTGACAATCTTGGAGCCACGTAAATTATTTGTATTTAAAATTTCTGGAAAATTAACCTTAGAGAAGTCCTGATAATTTCAGGGAAGTCCAAGTTAACAAAGCTTCAGAAAAAAAATAAGGGAATTCACAGAAGTCCAGCGTACTTCAAAGAAGTTCAGAAAATTCCAGAAAAATAACGGAAGCGTCAGAGAAGATTCATGAATACATGCTTGGCATGCACAGTTGTACACACCAACTGCTCATTTGTTAATAAATTTTACTCAGTTGTTAAAATTTGTTTTTCTTTAAAGTAATTGATAGATTAGAATCATAGCTTACTATAGATATGCAAAGCGTAAGTAAATCTTAACATTTGAATCAACACCAATGAATTTTTACGCTTAAAGTCTGAGATGTGCAGCGAGCATTTCTCACTTCATTTTTACAACGCAAAAACAAATACAGTTTATTACTAAAACTAAAATCTTCTTTTTTTACGTATCTTTAACAAGCTTAAACTCTATTCCATTTACTACTTCAAAAAGAACTATGTTTCGTCAATTGTGTTCAAAGTTATTAGCAAATGAGCAGTTCATGACCAAAACTGTGTATGCCCAGCATGCATGAATATTAGTAAAATCACACTTAAGAGAAGTTCCGAGTTCTTCTAGTGAATTTTGGTTGGTTAGTTGATTTTAACAAAAATTCCGTAAGCTCAGGATGATTGTGGAGACTTTTAAGAAGTTCTGCGGAATTTATGAAAGTCCAAAGAATTTCTGAATCTGCAGAAACTTTATGGGAAGTCCAGAGAACTTCAGAGAAGTTTGAAATAATTTGAGGTAAATCCAAAGAGAGCAGCGAAAAGTCGATCAAAAATTCACAAATGGATAAAATGTTTAAAAGAAGCTACGTGAAGTTCGGAGAAGTTCCGAAAATTTCAGGAAAATCACGGGATTCTTCAGTCCGATCAATGCACATCTGGAAGGTTTTGGGAACTCTAGACAAGTTTCCATAACTTTAGGAAAATTTTCATCAATTGGCATGTGATGTGATGTGTTGCTTATGGGTTTCCCAACAAACATTGAAAGCTGAATAAGAGCTTATTCAGGCAACAATTTGCTTCTTAAGCTAAAACGTGGCTTATTAAGCTTTTATTCAGCTCAAATTGTTTGATGGGTTTGGTTTAAGAAGAATCTGGTCACGTAAAACACCATATCGGTATAGAACACCAAGGGTATCAAGGTTGGAATCTGGGTTCGCATAGAGTTTACGAAACTTTTTACGTCTCATGAATCGATAGTTAACAAAACGATTTGATTTAATTTTAGGAATGGCTCTCTTCCCTGCAATTATTTTTAAGTTTATGGCGAGTTCATTGAAAACAAACTATTGTACTACACACCCCTGTGTTAAGAGTAGTGGATCGGTGGCATTATGGAAGGAATTATGTAAAGAGGAGGAAAATGGGAGATTAGGAAGAAGATTTTTCGGAGATGGTTGGAATAAGATGCAGTAGAAAATGTGAATTTTAAAAGTATAACATTCATTTGGAACAAGATTGGTGTGAAGTTGGTTAAAATTAAATAAATCAGTTTGAAAATGTAATAAAACTTCGTTTAGACGGTGATAAATAAAAAAAAAATAGAAATAAGTAATTCACTTTACCCATAGCTCAGAGTTTATTAGAGGGGACTTAATTGTGACTACATGTATTTATACGTTCCATCATTGCAGACCTTACTGAGCATCTGAGTCATGGAATATTTTATGGTCAGTTTGCCAAAAGCAATAAAGCTGAATGGATCATTAGACCATATTGTATGAGTGAGATATTGAATCTGGAAATTGTGTATCGGAGATAAACCAGCCTGCGGCTGAAAATCTCCTAAATAGAAATAATAATAATAATAATAATCTGTAAATTATTTATCAATTCTTTAAATTTTTTTTACTAGATATATTGATATCACTCCACATTTAAGGATCACTTCCAGTTGACTTACACCTTAGAGGGCTCTAAGCTTACACGCTGGACTGACAGGTTTATAAATATTATTAGTTTACCCATAATTGTGGGATGACTAAAAAAAGTCCAAATAATAGATAAAATTCATGTATTTTTTAAATATATTAAGAAGATCATTTACCCACAAATATTATCGCAAATTTCCACTTGGTCTTGTTTAAAAAATATATCATTGAATACTTACGTTTTATCTTGAAAATTATAAACCGGGAATTTATTTAGATTTGAAACGGGAAAACCGAAAATACACCGAAAATTTCAAAATGAATTCACTAATGAACCTAAATGCCACCCAAGGTGTTAAATGAAAATGTAATTGCAGTAAATTTCTGATGAATTTCTAAGAAAAATTATGAAAACTTCCATTCAGCAATTCAATAAACCTAATTCTGTTATGACGCAGAGGTACGCACCAAATGCCAAGGTTTAGTTCAGCACTCATAAATTATGGATTCTTAATCAGAATTCAAAACTGCGAATCGCATCCCTCAGTCGCACATTTTAGAAGGTGTCTCTTGGGATGAAGCTAACCGACTGAAGGATGCTAATGTATCTGCCACAGGTGATCATGTTGTCCTCATGGGTGCTGCATCGAAGGGCATAATTCAAAGAGGATATCAACACAATGCTACAGTATATAAAGCACCATATGCGAAAAATCCATTTGATTCGGTTACTGATGATGAGTTAAACGAATACAAAAAAACCGTCGAGAAAAAGCGACAAGGTGATTGTAAGTATTTATCGGGTCATAGGTACCCTAAAACGGGAGGAAGTTGATCATTTTTTTACTGATAAACCTCAATATCTTTTTAGCCATATGTTTGGCATACACACATACAAATATCTGTCAAACTTGTTCTAACACATGCGGTTCTATAACATTCCCCTGAAAATCGATTCTACGACAATACCCGGAAAACTATTCAACGGAAATCAATTTACTTTAGTTTTCTCATAATAAGAGCTGCTAATGTTGTACTTGTGTGAATTCTAAAAATAGCTAGTTTAGGAAAGCTTCAAAAGCCTGGCCTGTAGTGAAGTTGGCACGGTGTGGTGTCCACTAGCTGCCTAGTACAGCTCCACTAAAACCCATTCCTTACTCTCTCATCTGTCTTGATCCCCCGGAACCACTGTGGCTGCTTCGGGGGGTGGCTGTGCTCATGCACTTCTTATACTCTCAGCACTAGTTGGCGTTGCTAGATCGCTGCTCCTCTCTCCATTTTCGCTGTAGCTCCGACAGTATTTCATTGGGCAGTAGGCACTGCCCGCGAACGGTCGGTTTTGTTTTCGCTGGCGCTGATTTCATCTGTTTTTCGCATATTTTTTAATTGTAAAAAATCAAACCAATATTAGTTTTCGCGTGTGGATAAGTGTAAATTAAGATCTATCACGTCTTAAGCAGTTTTTTTTTAGTGATATTGTAATTAACGTGAAAAATCTGGGACAAGAATTTGTTCGAGTAGCTGTGTTGCTGTGATGTCGCGTCGGTCGGTTTTTCATTTCGCTTGTTTTTGGTGCTTTGCCTCCCTTCCAAGAAGAGTTTTACCGGGCATTTTTTTTCTTTTCTTTGTGCTGACGTTCTGCCTTCCAAGCAAAAATTCGGTGCAAATGAAAAACTTCGAATGTGATTCAAAATGTCGTATTGCGTTGTAAAAAAAAACCCGGAATTTTTTTGCGATTACCGCGAGTGAACAAACCGGTCCTTTTTCGGCGCCAGAATTTGGTGAGATCCATCTGATTTATAATCAATCATAAATGCACATTTCCATATATTACTAAATACGCGCCAGATTTTGAAACATCACATTTCGAAATCTGGAAGTGTGTTTGCAGTACAATTATTCATTTGATAACGGTAGTGTTTACATGCGGGGCTTATTGTATGTGAAAGTAACCTCGGAATGGACGTGAATTACCAGGCATTCTGAAATGGGTTGCTGAATCTGCAGTAGAGCTATCGCTTTCTAACTCCCGGACTAAACTTGCTTTAAATTATTACATCAAGGATTGTTGTAAGCAAATTTCTTCCATAATACCACTGCCGGCCAGTGGGGGTTAGATTTAATACACACACACATCTCCGACAGTATTTGATTGAGCGACTGTCCTGGGGCCACATTGCGCATCTCGAAACGAAAAACTTTTTCATACAAGCGTTCGTACAAAAAGTTTTTCGTTTCGAGATGCGCAATGTGGCCCCTGCTGACAGCATTCCAAGTGCCCACCTCTCGACACATTTTATCGAAAACATTCTCCACGTTAAGGACGGGCATCTCCTTTCGCACTGCTCGAACCTTGGACAGGAACTACGTTAGGTGTAATTTGAATTCTCCGCGTTTTCTGTTCACCCAGGTCGAAAGAATCGGTATTAGCATAGAGGTAACTCTAAGACAAGAAGGTCCCGAAATAACGTGCTCAACTTTTGGCTCAGCTCTGGTACTCTCTTCGGTCCCAAGCTAAGCGATTCACCCCTCGAAACATGGGAAAATCCACTATCCCCTCATTTTATCTGTCAAACTTTCATAGCGAATCAAAACAAACATTGTGTAGTAGTAGAATTTCGACTTGAATGGGGTACGTTGATCGTTTGCTTGGGACCAATAGGCTAGTCAAGTAGTGAGCCAATTTAAAATCGTTAGTTTCGTATTGATTGTTGGTATTAGTCTATGTGTTCATCTACCGTGTTCCACTCCTGTTGCCATTTAGTGAACGATTCCGCTCTCACAACTTTCCGTACTCTTCCGGCTTCTCTCCGCCTGTAACACTCGCTGTCCTCCGCCACGATGATGCCGACAACGCATACTGCTTCCGACAAGATTCTGTACGCACTCACGACTCGAATGGCTATGAGCCGGAACTTACTGCTCAGTTTTCTTTGGTTCTACTTTGTTTCCAGCGCTGCAACCCAGGCTGGACCTCCATACCTCAGTATCGACGACGACTTTTGCTACTGCTGGGACCAGAGATGTTCGGCATGATTCTAGCTATCGTATTAATGCCCTTCGAAGACTTCTCACATACATATTCGACGTGGCTGTTGAAGTTTATCTGGTATTCGATAATAACTCCCAGGTATTCAACACGCGCTTCGAAGCTATGACGTACTCCCCGAAAGTGTTTTCTGCACGCTGCACCGGTTTACAATTATTGACCAATAACACTTCCGTTTTGTGATGGGCTATCGCCGGCTTCGCTCCTTGCATCCAGTTACCGATCATGTCGTTTGCCTCGGTTACCAACACTTCCACCTCTTCCAGCGTCACGCCTGTTACCGTCAAGGCGACGTCGTCCGTAAACCCAACGATCACAACTCCTTTGGGCAGCTTCAGCGTTAGGACGCCTGTTTATGGTATTGGAATTTAGTTCATCCCTGACTGATTTTTCTGCAATACAATTACTGTGAGAGAGAGATTTCAAGAACAGGAACTTTGCCTGTCCATCCGATATCGTTTGGTTTTTGATTACTACTACGTCTTAATTATTCTAATAAAAGTGAATTTACGAGCAGACATTTTTGTTCTACAAGTTTTATTTATTTTCGGTTCGGAAATTCGGAAAAGTCCCGGTTTTGCGTGGTAGAACTTCGCGTCAGTTCTCAGTAGTCGTGCCTTGTCCACTTCCGCAACATTTCGAACAAATAACATTTGGTCCTTCGCGATCCGGATCGGCGTGAATCAGCGACAATGGAGGAGCTGATCAGGAAAAGAAACGTGGCCTTCGAGAGGCTGAAGAGAGTACATGCGAGTGCAAGGCAGCTGGTAGAACATGAAACACAGGCGTTCGAAGTTCACGATCGGTTTCGGAAATTAGCCGAAATGGAGGAATCTTTCGACAGGATTCAAGCTGAAATCGAAGAAGCAGTCCCGAACGAGGAACTTTCTTTGGTACTCAGTGTGCGTTCGGACTACGAACAACTTTTCTACACAACGAAAGGACTGATTACAAAGCTGCTGCAAATGAAGGAAGGTCCAGCAAGTGCTTTCAGTGACTCTACAGTGGTAGATCCTAATAACGAGCTGAAGGAGGTAGTCCGTGTACTGCTCGAAACGCAACGAACCCTTCTTTCCAGCCAAGCGACAAGTAAAACGAATATGGAAGGGTTGGCTGTCCAGCTTCGTCAGCAGCGCTTGGAGCCAATCGACACGCAGTTGCCGTCGTACAATTTGACCGTGTTCAGAGGCGACAGGAAGCAGTGGGCTTCTTTTAAAGATCTTTTCGTCAGCGGCGTCGATAATAAAAACCTACCTAGTGCTCTAAAGCTACAATTACTGATGTCCCATCTGGAAGGTGACGCCAGAAGCCTAGTTAGCAGTTACTCTATCACCGACGCAAATTATAAACAGGTGTGGGATACACTTGTGGAGACCTTCGACAAACCAAAGTTCACAGTTGCCGCTCTAGTTCAGGAGTTCTGCGACCAACCGGCAATAAGGCCTTTGAATCTTGCAAGCTTACGAAAGTTGGTCCCAACTTCCGACGAGGTAATTCGTCAACTATGTGCCCTGGGGCCAACTTGCGAAACGAGAGATCCTTGGTTGAACCACATCGTACTGAAGAAGCTTGATGATGGTCTTCGGTCTCAGTGGGCACAGCATATTGTCGATAATGACGACCCAACGTTCGTCGATCTTCTCAAGTTTCTTAAAAGGAAGTGTGAAGCGTTGGAGACATGTGCAGCATTCGGTGGAAAACCCTCGGAGTACGGCACCTCATAGAGATGACCGCAAGCAACTCACCCCAAAAAAGGAAATCAAGGCATTCAATGCAGTTCAACAACAGTCGTGTCCGGTTTGCGCGGAAAGCCACAGAATTTATGAGTGCACCGTCTTCAAGGAATCTTCTGTCAACGAAAGGCGCGAACGAGTGCAGCAGGCGAAACTATGTTTCAATTGTCTGAGACCAAACCATTGCGCCAAATCCTGTCCGTCGAAGTCGGTATGCCGCACACCACACTGTGAACAATGTCACCATACGATGCTGTGCAAGGCAGACAACAATGAGCTAACATCGACCCCGCCGTCACCACAGCAGCCGCAAAGTGCTGCAGCAGTCGATATCAAGCCAGCGGTGTCCTGCACGACTAACGCCAAAAAAAGCTGTTCTTCGGTTGTCATCGGCTTACTACAAACGGCATTAGTACGAGTGAAGCGAATTGATGGTGAGTGCCAGGAAGTACGAGTGATGATTGATAGCGGTTCACAAGCATCACTTATCACGGAGAATTGCGTGACCAATCTCGGATTGCAGCGAAGCAACGCTAATCTGATTGTCACCGGAATCGCAAGCTCTGCTCATCGGAAACCACCAGAGGAGCTGTCGACCTGGAAATTTCTTCTCGCTTTTGCTACAATTCGGTGGTCAACGTCAAGGCTTATGTGCTGTCCAAGTTCCTGCGGATCGTACCAAACCAGCGATCCTGAACGGCTAAAATGTTTGGAAACATTGCAGCTAGCGGACCCACATTTTGACAAGCCCGGCAAAATCGATATTACTCTCGGAGCTGATGTTTTCTTGGCTATTTTGGAAGATGGCAAGGTAATTGATCAACTCAACTTTTTGAAGAATTGTTGCCGGTCAAGTTTCAAGTTTGGACATGGACATCGACAAGGTTCTTCGGAAATTTTGGGAAGTAGAAGAGGTCAACAGACCGAAACCTTTGACACAGGAGGAGCAGCAAGCAGTGGATTTCTTTAATACTACGCATCGACGAGATGAAACTGGTAGATTTAC